AAAATTTTAAATTTCTGCAGAAATTTTACAAATTTTTTAGCTCTAAGCTTAAATAACTACATTCAAACATCAATTCGTATAAATACACATCAAAAGTATGCAAAAATAGAATAAAAAACCAAAAATTAATTATTGGCAATAACAGGGGAAAAATGTTGTGCCAGAGGCAGTGGTATAAACATATTACAGTACCTGCAAAATTTTTCTACAATTTTTCATGCTTTTATTTACCGCTCCTGAGAAAGTTAATGGGAGCATTTGTTCATGTGAGCTTTTTTTCGTGTGAGCATATTTCTAAGTGAGCATTTTTTGCATGTGTAGTTTTTTCGATGGGGTCATATTTACGTGTGGGCTTTTTCCTGTGAGCTTTTATACCAGTGAACATTATTCTGGGAGCATTTTTCCTGTGGGCTTTTTTCCGGTCACCAAGGAAAGGAAGTCATGTGGTGCACATATCAGATTTTTTTATGTGTCAGTTTATAAAACTTTGCAGGTCGTATCCACGACTTCCAGAATCAATTCACATTGAAAGACATTATATTTGCTTTGGTTGTTGCCTGGAATGATGTGAACTGTACTCACTGTAGGTGTACACTGTGGCTTACTGTAAATGAAGAGTAGAGTTATTAAGTTTCTTTTGGTTTTGAATTCTGTCCGCCCAAATGTCCGAGATCTGGAATTTACTTATATGTTCGGATATACTTATATGTGCTAATGAGCGGAAGGTACAGGCTTGGCTGGATGTAGAAAATCCTCTTCTTGCACACTTTCACAAGATGACGGCAAAATAATTGGGCATGTAACGGGAGGGTGAAGATAAAAACGATACGCATAGATAGACAGTTACATGAATGAAACCAGATAAAGAATTTAAGGCTTTCTTGTTTATCTCTCTTAACACATGATGTCATGAAACTTCATTGTATATTCAACGAGTTTTGGAAACTCTGGCGACAGTCTTGCAAGTAGGTAGACATTCGAACTTATGTGTCATCACACTAAGAAATTCGTAAGCTTCGTGTGATAATATTCATGGTAATTTTAGAATATTATTTAGGTTTGCTTTTATGAAGTATCAAATATGTATGTATTATCTTTGAGGGCTTTTACTAGTTTGCCAAACTTCACGAATGTTACGTCATCCGTGAAAACAAATAGTTTAGAATGGGTTGGTCGTTTACGTTCCTCTATATTATAAAATATGATGTTCTAAAAATCTGCACTCATGCAAGATCCCTGGGAAAATCATCTTGTCTTTGGTAATTGTGCTATTATTTTGTAAAACTATGCTTTTCTTTGACGTAAATAATCTGTTAATATAAAAAAGATGTTTTTTGGCACAACTGAATTTCCCGAGAACCTGAAGGACTGCAGGCCACCATAGCAAATCAAATGCATACTTTCAATCCAGGCACAAAATAGCTGAATGCAGCTGATTTGCTTTGTTGGATCTCATCTCTTGTAAGAGAACATCTGCATGAATTGTATAGCACTGGTTTCTGAAACTATATGGTAAGTACTAATGAATCCATTTGTGTGAAAGTGATATTTGAGTCCTGCCATCATTCCGTTTTTCAATATTTTCCCATGAGACTGAAATGAGATTTTTTGGTCTACAAGATGTGGGATCATCTGGCCTTTTATTCGTTTTGACAAATAACACAATCTGATCTGTTTTTAAGCAATTGGGAAAATTTAATGCATTTGTTGCAAAAGACCGTGATTAAATTCTTGTTGCATTAAAGGAGTTTTCATAATCTGGTTATCTAACCTTTTTTTTTTCTGGCGAAGCATTTGATGAGGTGTGAGATCTCTTTTGTTGTGAATGGAACTTCGTCTACTGTCTCTGGCATAACTTTGCAATGGCGTATTACTTCCTAATCTGGAGTGTCTTCGTTAGGAAGATCCTTAGTGTACACTGCATCTAGTATGGCATTTATTGGTAACGTGGTAATGTCTGTGCTATTGTTTGAATTTATTTTCGCCAGCTCTTAGGTTTTTGACTGATTTAGTTGCCTTCTAAGGCCTTTTGTCTTAGCTAGGCTCTTTAGTCCACCAATTAGTTTTACTGATTGAATTGTTAGTTCTGCTATTTGGTATTTCTGGTATTGGTATTAACGTATTTGAGCATATCACCTGAGATTTTTCCCATTATTAGCTCAGCTGTGATGTTCAGTTCTTCATTGTCAGAGCAGCTGTTGATTGAGGTACCTAAATTATTAGATTCTTCTCTCATTAAATAAATAAAAATCTTTTCTTTACTTTTAGTAATTTTGAATCGCAGTAAAGCCAAATTTAAGGTTTGTTTGCTCAGATCAAATGACACCTAATTATGATTGGACAGTGAACCTTAGTCTGGTCTGGATCTGGTATTAATTTCATTAATAAGATGGTGGGATATCAAAGTTAGGTGAGGCCATTATCTGCCATTTCGAGTTGGGAATGAAGTTAAATAAGAGGACTGGTTAAGTTAAATTAGGTCACGAGAATTTATGAATTCTTACACTAAATTTTCTCTCTGGTCACATGTGTGAAAAACGTGGGCTGCATATCAGTTTGAATGAAAAAGCTCGAACTTCGTTGACAATAACCTATAAGAGATCTACTTGCGTTACTATGTTGAGTTGCTGTCCTTTGATGATATAGCGTTTTTGTTGGACTGGCATCGCGTTTTTGTTGCTATTACTAGTTTCGCTTGTGTCAATCAGATAAAATCCACGAAATTCAGTGTGGCGAGGATTCAAGATTGCACCTGTCGTTGGCAAAGAGCTTGACCACCATATAGATGAAAGTACAACTTTGCTCAGTTTCGCCCCCAATTCTAAAGGAAAGCACTCCGGAAACACTACCAAAATGGCCACCGACTCTAGGACTTGACGAGTCTATCGGTGTAATTATCATGTTCGCAGATGACATCTAATACCTGTTATTGGTGGTTAAAAGCTAGCATGCAGGATGACATTTTTGGGAGAATCGGTCCAAGGGTCTCCAAACACTTTCTCCCTAAGAATAACTTCTCTAGAGGACTTTCGGACAGCCAGATATTTAGAATGCCTTCATGCCACACAGCTAATATTATTTTACAAACAACATGCCTTCTCTGGGATTTGAACCGGGCCAGTCACCGTCGTAAACCACTACCCAGGTTGGCCGGAGCTGGCATCATGTAACTGTTTATAAGCTAATGTCACTAAACATCAACATCATAATCGATTCTTCCAAGACCTCATATGGATTAAATGTCCACTCTTGAAATTATTAAATATAAGCTAAAGATTTTTGACCTAGCCGCTGCACAAATGGGCTGTTGCACTAGAACAGACTGCCTCACGTTTTGGTAACTTACCGTCATTCTTGGTAGAATACAATTTTGTAATAGAGCTGAGATAAAAGAAGAACTCGCAGATGTTTTCGCTTTAAGCCAGTTCTGTTCTTTCATATCGAAAATCAGAAATATTTCTGTAGTTCGACAGAAATTCAATTATATGGATTTCTTAGTTTTCGCAATGACTGACTGCTGATTTTCGTAAAACTTGTTTTAAATGGCATATTGTTAGATCTGTAGGACTTTCCCAAAGACCTAATAATTTTAGTGAACGCAAAAAGAAGTTTAACTTCCTCCTAGTTTAGATTCGAATTTAGTTTTAATGATAATTAAATTCAATAAAATGCTTTCATTATAAAATGACTAAGTGACAATCATGAGAACTTGAGATAAAGATAAAAATTAGTAATTCAATTACCGGCTTCTTTCTTTTTTTTTCCTTCACAGGTTTCACCCTAGAAGTGAAGATATCACTTATTCAACGTGGATGATGTACAATGTTCCTGGAATGGTTCTGTGTGTACTGATTTGTTGGTTTTATCTATGGCTGGTGCACATTCGATGCTCGTACGTAGAATAATTCTTCCTATACAGGGTGATTCGCTACCAGACCGACAAACTTGCAGGGTGTGAAGGGGGTACATAGGTGACTCGGAATCCAATAGGAATGAAGAGTCGCAAATGCCGTAGTTGCGAGCTATCGTGTAAAGAAGCAGAGAAAAATAGCAGAATCAGCAACACATTAATGGGACGGAAAAACATTTTATTGAAAGGTTGTACTATAGCAGGTGTTCGAAGTCCATGCATGATAGGTCCGGTGATCTGGCAGGCCAATGTACCCGGCCATCACGATCTATCCACCGCTGTCCAAAGGTTACGTCTTGGTGTCGGCAGTCGAGTAATGTGGAGCAGTCCGGTCATGCTGGTACCACATGGACCTACACCGGAGTTACTATGCATGGACTTCTTCCTCTGTGTTCACTTGAAGAGTGACATGTCAGGAATCTTCCAGAACGTAAGGAATTCCATGCAGCTCTGCTCATAGCCCTGCCAGACGACTTCTGGTCATAATTTCGAACACGTGTTGTGGTACAACCTTTCAATAAAAATATTCTTTGTCCGAATAAAGTGGTTGCCGTTTTCGGTTCTTATCCTCTGTTCCTTATTCTTATTATTAACGGCTCTTTACTAGCATGCGACTGCTTTCTCTGTGTTCACTGTAAGAGGACATCCCGGTTCTTCCTTCCAGAACCAAGGATTCCATGCACGCGTCCGCCATAGCCCTGCCAGATTACTTTCGGTCATAATTTCGAACACTGTTATTGTGCTTTGCTCTCTAGATCTTAGTTAGAAGTAAAGATTGTATTTTGAAGCGGCTCTTATATTAGCAATTAAATACCAGATTTTGGAGGGTGTGAGATATACGGGTTTTAAAGGACTGGTCCATTAGCCGTAATAAGATTAGACTTTGAGTATGGGGAAAAATATAGAATATTTTACAGGCGATGAAGTAGATATGGTAGTGTATAGTAAGATATATTGTTTCAGGTATTTTGGTTCGAGCAGGTTGATGAGTGGATAGAACATTGTTAAAGGCTTGTGAGACAATGGGAAGGAAGGTAAGGATGCACGACTTGTCTGTAGTTGTTTTATAGTAGTAATTTTGCTATTAACAACCTTTCAATAAAATATTTACTCCGCTAATTTGTTTGACCGTTCTCTGTGTCTATTCGCTGTTCTTCTTATTATTAACTGGACGTGTACTATGACAGACTTCTTCATTCCTCTGTGTTACTTGAAGAGGCATGCCAGGAATCTTCCATAACGTAAGGAATTCCATGCCACTCTGCTCATAGCCGCGCCAGTCGACTTCTGGTCAAAATTTCGACACGTGTTGTGTACACCTTTCAATAAAATATTTTTTCCGTATAAATGTGCTTGCCATTGTTTTTCTGTTCTTCAGTCTCCTGTCGTATTCTTATTCTAACGGACTTACTAGTGACATGGACTCTTTTTGTGATTTCTTCACTCTAGTGTTCACGTTGAGAGTGACCTGCCCAGAGCTTCCAGAACGTAAGGAATTCATCAGCAGCTTCTGCTCATAGCCCTGCCAGACGACTTTCTGGTCATAATTTCGAACACGTGTTGTGGTACAACCTTTCAATAAAATGTTTTTGTCCGATAAATGTGTTGCCGTTTCTGTTCTTATTCTCTGTTCTTATTCTTATTATTAACGGACTTACTATGCATGGACTTCTTCCTCTGTGTTCACTTGAAGAGTGACATGCCAGGAATCTTCCATAACGTAAGGAATTCCATGCAGCTCTGCTCATAGCCCTGCCAGACGACTTCTGGTCAAAATTTCGAACACGTGTTGTGGTACAACCTTTCAATAAAATATTTTTGTCCGATAAATGTGTTGCCGTTTCTGTTCTTATTTTCTGTTCTTATTCTTATTATTAACGGACTTACTATGCATGGACTTCTTCCTCTGTGTTCACTTTAAGATGACATGAGCCAGGAAGCTTCCATAACGTACGGAATCCCATCTGCTTTCTGCTCAAGCCTCTGCAGACGACTTCGTGCCGTCAAAATTTCGAACACGTGTTGTGGTACAACCTTTCAATAAAATATTTTTGTCCGATAAATGTGTTGCCGTTTCTGTTCTTATTCTCTGTTTCTTGTTTGCCCATAGCTCGTCAACTACGGCATTTGCAACCGTGCATCATATTGATTCCGAGCGTCTCTGTACCCCTCTACCTTTTTTTTTTTTTTCTTTTTTTGGGTTTTTTTTGTTTTTTTTGCTCTGTCTCAGCCCTTGTTTGTCATAAATGTCTGTTGTCGATTGAGGTGGATGAGGGCTGCCTCCCGAATTTGTACCCGCCCACACCTTTGTCGGTCTGTAGCCATCGCAACCTGGATATTATACGCTATTTTAATATTATGTTTTAGATGCTAAACTCTGTACTGTTTTAAATTATGACTATATTTGCATATAGGATACTGAAATCAAACTCAATAAAAATTTAATAATATATGAATACATACAGGGTGACTCATTCAGAGAAATAAAGAAATAAATTATATAATTTCTGATCTTTTATTAATGGCATATATTTTTTTCGTATTGAAAAATGGAAAAAGTTTTTATTACGATGGTAATAGCTACTGGCTGCTGTTATACAGCAAGCAGAAAATTTTATGTAGGGCAGTTATCTGTTCAGAGATACACTGATACTTCTATTACGTATTTGATGATGGGTATTCAAAAATTTTAAACTATAGGTATTTAAATACAAAATTTAGGGAAAGAAATCATTATATAGACATTTTAGGACTTGAACAAATTTAGATAATGTTAAATAATATGCAATTAACAATGTTTAATAATTAAGACCGACATCTGGCAGTTCCATTCAAATCAATTCGGCTTTGATGAGTTAATCTATTTTAGTTAGTAAATTTAGCCGCCCAGACGGTATAATGGTTAAGGGAGCCTGACTGTGATACCAAAGGGCTTGGGTTCGAATCCCGGAGAAGGCATGGATGTAAAACTGTCTTTCCCTTCATAGGAGGTAACGGTGGCCGCCTATTAGGAGCCTCCATAATAAAATGGTCACCGCTTCTGGCCTTAGTAGTGGCCAATGCCGTTATAGGCAAGTGCCCGCCATTTGTAAAAAAAAAAAAAAAAAAAAAAAAAAAAAAAAAAAGAAGTTAGTATATTTAAGGTGGTAAAATCTGCAATCCAAATTACTTTCATTTTTAATAAACTGTAGAGAAAATATTATTGATAACAATACTTTTTTCCTAATTTACTTAGCATGCATTACCTGCATTATGCAGGGTGTTTATAAAGTCCTGGACCATTTTGAATGTTTAATAACTCATAAAATAATAAAAATAATTGAAATTAATAACATACATGGTTATGCCATACTCAAAAACGTTTCATGACCTGTCAATGAAGCTTCACGTGTGCCCCCTTCGTCTACGGAAATATCAAATCCGTATTCAATTTCACGACAGGTACCGAAGCACTCGCACCACGAGGTTATTGCGGTGCCAATTTTGGGCTCTTTAAGTCAATCCATTTCCGACAACTCCCTCCTGTAAGCGTTGTGCCCTTACAAATTCCGCCAAAGATAAAGTCCACGCGTTAGAATCAGTGATCATGGTGGTGGCCAGGAATGGACCAGGAAAGGTTCCTCTCATGCCAATCCTTCTTCCTGTAAAAATGGTCATTCAGAACTTACGAAGATGGACCCCATCCAAAGAGGTGGTGTACCATCTGTTTGCCTAGACATGTGGCTGAAGCTCTTCTATTGTGGAATACGAAGTTTTCCAACTATGTCTAAGTATACGACTTATAATACCGTCTTTCTTCAAAAAGAAAAAAAAAACAAACACACGGAAATACGCCCATAACCCGGTGTGGCATCCACAACCACACTTTATCACTTTGGGGATCCCGTTGTGCCTCACGTTATTCAATTGTGGTTTTCAGCACAGTCCATATGCGCACATTATGCAATTAATAAATGCCCATAAAGATGCCCAAAAACAAAAAAGAGATAAATGCTAATTATAATCAGACGATATTTTCCAGAAAGTAGTCGGATATATAGACTGGAAAATAAAATTCAATCGAAATTAAACCACACGCGCAGACGATATTACCAAGTAAAAGATATTCAAACCTGACAAAGGAAAATATTAAGTTTTCATCAATAAATGCCATAAGTTTGTTTATATCTTCATTATTTTATGAGTTATTAAACACCAAAATGATTCCGGGACTTTATAAACACCCTGTATTTGACTGTGAATTAAAAAAGATAATGAATTTCTAACTTGCCTTACTGGGTGTGATTTTTCTCCTTTTAGCTTGTGGTGGAAATATGGTTTCTTAACATATGTATTATAAAGTAGACATTCTAATGAAGTTCCCTTATTTATTTTTTCATTCGTTTTTCCCCAGAAAAGTTAAGCACAAATTGGAATCGAAAGAAGAGATTAAAACCATTATTTCGAAGCGATACGCCAAGCTGGGCCCGATGACGTAAGTTGTACACTGAAGTTTTATGTTAGCGTTTTCGTAATTATTATTATTGTTAGGTGCAGAAACCTTCCTAAGCTTATGGGCACTTATTTTTCTCTACAGTCATAATTTTTAGGATCGTTTTAAAGAAACAGTGATATTTTATATCTGTAAAATATATTTAACTTTTTACGAGAGTCATGAAAGAAAATCTGAAAGCTTCCAGATTTTATATTACGCCCCAAAAGGGAGGGTCTTTTTAACGTTTTCTGTGTTACCTATATTTATTAAATATCATGTTCTTTGCACTTAAACCACATAAAATTCAACTCAACAACAATATCACAAAACAATTAAAAAAAGCATATCTACAGAATTTCCGATAAATTTTTTATCCGTACAGTGTTGTCACTGCTCACTTTGAAATCGTCGAGTTTGATAATCAACAATTCGTTAACGTTTTACAAAACTTGAAATAAATAATAAAACAAATTCAAAATACAAAATTCGGGCGCACAAGTACCCATGTTCGGTTGGTGTTTTGGATTTTTATGACTTTCATGTTATTAAAATTATATTGAGGTTTTCCAATCTTCAGTGTCCAGCGGTGCAATATTTGGAAACACGGATTATCGTTATATTTGGATACACGGATTCGGTTATAACGTCCTTCATTCATATTAATCGATTATTGTGTTCATGATACAGGTTGTTGCTCAGACTTTGTGCATATAATCGAAAAAAAAATAGTGTTAAGGAAACATTAGCATTGCTATGAAATTTTGTAATCTATAATTATGCCATACATAATTGTGTAGTATTGAAAAACACTAAATATTTTTTAATTTGGATTGCAAATTGCATGTTTATTACTTAATCGTTTGGTATCTATTCGTTCGAACACTGGTGTATTCGGCGTTTTTTTTTTTTTGAATTTGCCGTTCTGTATGTCTAATTAGACTCTCAGATAAATGAAATTTTGAAAATTACGTTTTGGTTTCTTTATTAAATTTAAGTATATTTTCATGGTACTTAACTAAGTTATTAAGTAAGTCATTTAGTATAGTCTATTTAGTTTAATCATATGTCTTCGCTTCCTTTTATGTGCGGTGGATAACACAGAAATTCATATACATAGAAACAAAGTGTTTCATCGCGTGCTATTTACGAAGACTTACTTTAATGTACGTTGCTTACTATGTAATATTGGTCGTTATTTAAATTATTTTTGTACAGTATCAAAAGAAAGTTATTGATTTATAAGAGTGCCTGAAATGGATCATTGTAATCTAGCACTATGCTAAAATTCGAAACTAAAAATAGGTAATACATTTACATACGATCGAAAGAAATGTGTTAAAAACTCACATTACTATAGCTACTGCAATCCATAATTATTGCATTTTTAATTGCTTATATTTAAAAACACAAATATTTTTTTTATATTAATTGGAAATTTTAGTTCTGTTACCTTCCTTCCTTCTGTATTTAATTATTCAAACACTACGAATAGCTCTGTTTTTTTCTTAAATAGTGCGTCTATATTGTTTGTTAGGTATTATTTAATTTTCGGATAGAATATGAAGTTATAGAGTTTAAGGTATATTTTTGATTACATTTATTACTACTTTATATACTGTCTTTCATTTGCCTATCTGGCTAAGGTTAATGGTTATATTTTTTACTTTTTTTTAATTTATAATAACTAATCAATAAAAATTATTATATTAAAATAATTATAATAATATAAATTTTATACTTATTTCAGGTAACGACTGATTATTTTACCCCTTAAAAATCGCTTTCCTATTTATCATGGACTGTGCATTTTTAATGCCTCGGAGATTTTAACCGAAATAAATGTATAAATGCTGTTAATCAGAAACGCTCTTTTTTTTATCCCATATATATCTTTACTTTCTATGCTAATTGAGTTTTATTCTTCAAGCTTACTATTATGTTTAATATTTATAATAACACTTTTCCTTCATAATTACTCTCACTTCAGGAAAAAAGATGGTGAAATCTAAATATCGTAACTTTAGAATTGGGGGGGAACGTTTTTAAAATATAGTTGTAAATAATGAAATAATTAAGGCTATTATTGATTATGCTATTTAGTCTAAAGAGAAAAAATTGTAGTTATCTTCTGGTATTCAGGCAAAGATAAAATATTTGAAACTTTTAGATCAATACAAGGAAAAAATAATCTATATATATATATATATTATTAATTATCAAGGCTTATTTTTCTGCATAATCATATGTAAGACAAGACTAATAACGACTTTTCCACAACATTGCAAAAAGGTTGATTTGTCGAACATTTAGCGTCTTTAAGACATCGTGATACGATGCTTTCACAACCAAAATATCACCTTTCGACAGACGCAAATAAGACTCATGCGACAAAAGCCTCATCTGCAAAAACGTAATAAAGTCGTCTTTGCAACGGTTGCAAAACAGTGGATGTTCGCGGACATCTGAGAGTCTTAAAAACGATATATTGTAACGTTTTTGCAACGACATCCGCGACGAGTTTGTAACGTCGTTACGACGTTGCTGTGCTACTTGAGATATATATATATATATATATATCACACACACACACATATATATATATGCGCATGTGTAGACAAAAAATAAGAAATTTAGAACCAATTCCACAAAGACCCAAAATTTCAATACCAGTAAATTTCAAAATTTTCTATAAATATGTATTAATTAACCAAAAGTCAGAAGGATAAAAGAAATGTAAAATACTAAAACCTTAAGAAAAACAAAAACCACAAAAAATAAACACGAATGCAATCAAATGTGGTATAACGTTTTCAAAAATGTGTACACTGCGAAAATAATAATAAAAAAAGGGGGAAGACAGTTTTACAACTCACGTTCTACTGGGCTGAATGACGAAATTCGAATTGCGTGTTTCATGTCTCGAAAGCGCGACTTAGGATATGTATTAGATTTATATATATATAGCATTGTTCTAATACAGGTATTTTAACAGAAAATCGGATTTTTTCTGAAATAACATACCAATATTTTTTTTCCTATCGGATTCTCAACACAAATTACGTCCAACCTACCAAGTTTTTGTTAAAATCGCACTAATAGGTTTTTAAAAAATTATCTCTCAAATTTTAGCTGCCCTGTTAATTGTGTTTGTAATATATTTATTCAATCTCTCTTTTGACTTAAACGTATTCGATTCTTTCAATCACATTTCTAAATTTTTAAGTTCATTCCCAAGTAAATTCACTCCATTTTTTAGGATTTATTTTTTAAAAATTTTGTATTTTAAATAATTTTTATAAATTTTTTCAAAAAAATTTTTGAATTATAAGCTGCAAAAGTTTTACAAAGTAGAAGTATTCTAAGCATACTTGGCAAAAAAATTACAGTGTTTTATTCAAAATTTCCGAAGATGGAGCTGAATTTATATATTTTTTTTTTTTGGCCCGCGTTTTAAAATTTGGCATAATTGTTGAAAAGCGATAAAATATCAAATGTGGTTTAGACACTTTGCTAAAATTATTTGGAAGTAGAAACGCAGTTACTTTTTTCCCGTTCATGCGCAACGTAAGAAGGTAGGAATGGGATGCCCTTTTTTCCGTTCCAGCATAATGGAAGGGAAAGGAAAATTGGTTGCCACATATTAATAGGTTCGCCAAGTGAATTATTTTTGGCGCAAACTGAAAAAATTATGCCAAGATAAATTTTTGAATTTCTTCTTAAATTTCGCACCAAATTTTACAAAATTTAATAGCTAGGCATAATTTGAATCGTAGAATCGAAATATGGGGAAAAAAATTGGTATGTTATTTCAGAAAAAGTTCCATTTAGTGTCAAAATAACCTATGATAGAACAATGTTATATATAAATCTAATATATATCCTAAGTCGCGCTTTCGAGACATTTAAAACGCAATTTGAATTTTGTCAATCGGTCCAGTAGAACGGGAGTTATAAAAGTGTATTCATTATTAATTTGTGATGAAATTTGTTAATTTGTGATACTATATAATATCACAATTTTTTTATATATATTTAATTTATAATCTACTCAATTTCTTGAAAAACCAAAAGTCAAAAATTTATTTTTTCTCAAAAGACTGGTGAAGGCATACTATGAATGAGGTGTTTGTGCTGAATATTAAATATAAAAGTGTTTTCATAATTAGCTATCACTTGCTGCAGATGCTATGACATTTGCTACAAGCACCTAACTAACGAAGCAAATGGATATTATCAAATTTCTGGAAATGTTCGATAATTCCTTACTATATCATTTATCTATTTCAGATGCCATCAAATAGAGGTCTTGACTCTTTTTCTTATCTTGGTTATCTTATGGATACTTCGAGACCCGAAGTTCATTCCAGGATGGTCCAAAGCCATAGGATCAGACACGTAAGGCTTTTGCTTACATTGATACGTATTACTATAGATTTACAGCTGTAGAAATGGGTAGAAAACTAAACAATTCATTAGGTAATTCTCACGATAGTAAAGAAGAAAAGGAGGAGTAAGTTTTATCGGTAAAATCTAATTAAAAAATTCTGATGTGTACACCACATGACTTCCTTGTACGGAATATTAAATTAATCGCCTTTTTTCTTGCATTTCATTTACACTTATTGGATTGATTTAAATCTACTTCGCCGACAGCGCATAAACCACAATAGAATAAATGCATTCTTTAAAATTGACTCTAGTATTTGTTTACCATAGCGACACTCTGGCGCTAGATTCACTTAACAGTATTATATTTCGTTCATATTATAACTCATAAGGCACAAAATTTATATCATTTAAAGAATAGAATTATCTCATCGTTGCCACATGTTCTATTCAAATACTTGCCACATGTTCTATTCAAATAAAGCTAGGACGATGTATAAAAGAAATTAAGCAAACAAAACAAAAAAGAAACAGTTTTTCACAGACGATTGAGTATTTCTCATTCAATTAATTCAAATCTCACTTCGCGAGAAGGCAAAAATACATAAAAACTCAATACATCTATATTAAAAATTACGAAGTAAATCTTAAAGACATTTCCTGGAAAACATTCGAGAAAGGATTAAGCATGATTTAATTGGCAATAATAAATGAAGACGTTATCTTTGTTGTTGCGAAGCTAAGTTTCTCTAGATTGGCAACAAATCCACTAGTCTGCTATTTCAAATGAAAACAATCAATGGCCGCCATAAAAAAAAGGCTTAAACAACTTTAAAATTGTTGATTTAAATTGTTGTTGTTGCATAAACAACTTTGAAATCTTTAGGTAATATTGTTCTAAAAATATTGTCTAAAGATTTACTAAAGGCATAAAAACCTTAACCGGATGATAAAAATAACATAATTCAATCATTTTTAAAGCAAAAACTGTACATTTTAAAACATAACAGTAAAGAAACTGAGATACTGAGCCGGTAAACAGAGTGGATATATATAAAAATATATTTATAAACGTTTGGTGCGGCCGATTGCAACCAAAATACGAGGTGCACATCTACGTGTATTAGCAGTCCTAGATACAAAATTTCAACGTTCTGAGGCTACTCATTTTTGATTTATGCGAGATACATACGAACATACGTACATTTTTCGTGGCGTCTGTATGTACATACGTTTGTACACACGCCACGAAAAATTCTCTTCAGAATTTATTTTAAAGCAGTTTTATATTTTTTTTTTTTTTTTTTAAGGAAAGAGTCTTATTTGTCCTTAGTCAGATATCACGCAAAAACATCGTTAAATTGCATTCGATAGCGGTGAAAATGGATATTTTCGTTGAAGTATGCTGCCTGAAACTTTCCGCGATTACAATACTTCCTTTTTACTTCGTACAAGGAAGTAAAAAATGGTTTTATTTGGCGTTTAAACATGTGTAAAATGGCAGATAATATGCTGGTCGATATATGGAATATTAACTTTTCAAACGCTTCGAATTCAATGAACTGCGAATCCCTGCTAATGAAATTCGAATTAAACATTACTACTAACCCAACAAACACAATGAAATTTAAAAAAAAAATTAGCATAAACGCACTATTCTATACTACACTATTCTTTGCACACTTTTCATGAATTGATTAAAATTCGTTTCTTATACTTACTAGATAATAACGGAAGTGTTTCTAAGCAGGTTATAGACTACTTTTACTCGGTTGATTTGTTTGGAACTGGTAAAGCTCAGTGTAAAGTGGTAAAGAGTTCGGATCAAACTACCAGTGTTCAGTGATTTATTCCCTCAGTCACTGACGATTAAGAGTGTTAAAATATGTCGGAGTTGAAACTGAAATACGTCCATTATATAATTTTAAAGTTTGTCTTAAATGGAAACTAGTAGAAAATATTTGTATTTTCATGTAGACAAAAAAATATTGACAAAATAATGGGACTCTTATTGAAGAAGTAAATAAAAAAATCGCACGAGTAGTTTTTAAAAAATTAGATCCTCAATGTTAATTGAGTTTGGTATATATTCATTAATCTCTCTTTTTTTATTAAACTTATTTGATACTTCCTTTCACATTTCGAAATTTAGGTTCATTCCAATGAAATTCACCCATATTTTATGATCAAAAACTGGCAAAACGCTAATTTCTGGCTAAGTGCCAAATTCTTTTTTCCTCTTGCAACAGTTTCTTGAATCGCCCCAGATAAAAATCAAAGTTATATTCTGAGGTTAAATAAAGCACGCGATTGCATGTTACCTCACTGTATGTTGAAAATATTTCGTTAATGTCAGCATTTTAAATTAACATTTTTCGTTTCAGGTTAGGATAAATGCCACGATATGTTATTGCCATGTTAATTCTTTTATTGATATTGAGTAAAAGTTGTTATATTATATTAAATTTAAATGATGACGTTCTTGAAGTTGTACAACTTTAATCAACTGAGATATTAATTAAATAAACCAGAAAGCGGTATTTTTTTATAATATGTTATTATTTTCGTTTTGAAAAATAAATTAATTGTAAATTATTTCGCAGCAATAATAATAATTATTATTATTTTACAATTAAAGTTTAATTGAATATTAGCTTTATACGAATAGAGAATATTTCTTAAACTTAAATTTCATTCCTTGCAGCGATGGTGCAACAGAATTATTTAAAATTTAATTTAACTATATTCTTGTGAAACAATTTTTTTTTTTTTTTTTTTTTTTTTTTTTTTTTTGTTTTTATATTTAGATTCTACGACCCAAATTGCGCCTAGATATTAAATGTTGTAAAATTTGGTGCTAAATTTACGGAGAAATTCAAAAATTTATCTTGGCGAATTTTTTTCACTGATTGAATAGAGCTTCGAAAAGAGTGCTGAAACGAGCATTGTTGTCAATGAACTGACAGATGAGATGCGGCGAAACAAAGAATACAGACGCTCAGTTGTCCTAGATTATGGGTGAGCCCGGTCTGGGCACACCTCCTCGCCGTTTGATTTTAAGCAAGATTTCATGGTAAAAATTTAAAACTAATATAAAATAAGGAGATTAGCATACAGCCAAAAAAATAACATATAAATTTCTTTTCAAACAATTCCTTTTATACCCTAAAAAAATCTGGAAGATTTCTTTGAAAAATGAGGGTCTTAAAAAACTAAACATGGCTAAAATATTTGGACTGGTTTGTGTTGAGCCACTATCTTCGATAAATAAAGAAGGTTCAGAGTAACCTATAGTAACTTATAAATTTTTTTTTCATTCAATTTTTCTGTGCGTACAGTAGGAAATTTTTAGGTGTGTCCAGACCGGACACACTGTGCCGCAAAGAGTTAATGTCGTTTCTTGGACTGATGGATTTGTTCTAGCCCAGGGAAAGGCAAACCTTTTCGGCCGCGGGCCAAAAATCGAAAAAAAAAGTTTGGTGGGCCAAGATAAATTTTTATAAAAATTTAAAAACAATATACAAGTATTACACTTCAAATATATTAATAAAATGAATGAAAGTGTGATTTAATTTTTAAAAGTTCCTTATGTTGAGGTTCGAAGTGAGATGTATTGATTCTAAGGAACGAGGCTAAATGCTCATCTGTCAGTCTACTTCTGAAATAATTCTTTCTAAGGTTCATAGTTGAAAACACTTGTTCACATATATAAGATGAGTCAAACATTACACTGATTTTCTGGGTGTGATATATTAAATTTGCGAAACGTACTTTCGATAATGATTTGCAAAACTCTATACTTTGGCCATATTTAAAAACAACTGCTTGAGAAGATTGTTAGACTGCAACTCAATCAATTCAAGCTGCAAATCTGACCTCACTGCTTCACAATTTACGTTGAAAGGCTTGGTTAAAATATTCAGTTCTGTTTGAATGGCACTGAAATCTTGAAAACTTCTTCCGAACTCAAAATGCAGTTTTTTCAACCCAATTCTTAATCTTCTCTTCAGTTACTGATTGTATTGAATTTAACTTCGGGAAATGAGACAAGTCTTAGCTAGCTGCCTAGCAAATAAATTAAGACAATTTAAGTTTTTTCTAAGAGGTCTCATTCACCTTCATTGGGTTCCCATATGTCTCCTCCCTGGAAAAGAGATAACACTTGTTGGCGCCAATCTTCAGCCATAACTAACAAAGACCTTCCACTTTTAAGGGGGTTCATACACCTTAAACCCCTGATGATCTTCAAATATGTGACTGTTGCAAGAATTGGGATATTTTATTTATTTTAAAAACACGTACTTCCAACCTTCTACAACTGACTACATAATATAGTTGCTTTGAAACTAGTAACCAGAAAGTGTGTGTTGCCACAAATATTTTTGTAATTTAATCCGCTTTGTGACAACTATTTCGCCATGTTTCCACCTTGCGCGCATGATATTTAAAAATGGCTAATGGAACAGTACTTGAAATTTGATGGAATTCTTTATATGGGCACTATTTTCTAACTGAACCAAAAATACTGATGAATATTTTATTGCGTTATTAAAAAATTTTATGGACGAAAACATTGCAAATTTTTTTAATAAAATACATTTCATAAATTCAACTCCAAATAAAATAAAAATTTTAACAAGAAATTCTTTAAAAGTTTTAGGTTCACAGTCAGTTTCCAAATGTTGTAAAATCTATATATTAAATATGCAATTAAATTATGCGACACAATATTTTAAACTGCTGCGCGCAAGGTGGAAACATGACGAAAAATGTTTGTCACAGAGCGGATTAAAATATAAAAATATTTGTGGCAACACAAACTTTCTGATGACTATTTCAGAAAGCAGCTATATTATGTAGTCAGCTGTAAAAAGTTGGAAGTAATTGCTTTTAAAATAAATAAGTTATCCCAATTCTTGCAACAGTCACCTATTCGAAGATCTTATGGGTTTTAAGGTGTAGAGTCCCCTTAACACTTTATGGATTGAAAGCTGTCTGTGCTTGCTGTTTCCGTCGGTTTGTGTTTTGTAGAGCAAAAATAGAGAAAGTAAGAAGATCATCAGTCTTTTGGAAAAAAGGAAGAAAAAAATAATATTTAAACAAAGTAGAAAAGGAGATGGATATATAATATATAAATATAAATATTTTTTAATTTGCGTTGGACTGGCAAATTAAAATTCTATCTGCGGGCTGGATATAAACTTCCGGCGGGGAGTAGTTTACCCATCCCTGGTCTAGCCTACTGGCTAACCATTTAGTATCAGTATCAACAACAACAGCGCTAAATTAATTAATAATAGTACTAGTAATTTTCTTCACATGCAAGGTGTGAAAATTGAATTTTTGCCTATCATGAAATCTTCTAAAAGGGAGTGGTACCTCGCTGCTAACTAACAACACAATTAATATCTCATCGCAGAACTTAGAAAATACTCGTTATTCCGAAATTTATTTACATAACTTATATAAACGGTGTCAACTCAAAAATTCGTATTTTAGCTGTATAAAAATAAATAAGTAAACTTCAGATGCATTGACTGCTAACATTGTCACTGCGAGCTTTAAAAATTGTCATCTCAGTCTCTTTTCACCAGTTTCTGATTTATTAAGACATAATAAAAACTCGACAGTTTTCTTGCATTACTCATTCTTGTACTACGTGTTTTTTTATAATTTTTGCAGAAAAATTGGGGATTCTGTTCCAGCAATTGCAATAGCCTTTCTCATGTTCTTCCTGCCAACGAATCCCAAAGTCTGGACCAGCCGTCGAATTCTAGCATGGAAGACAGCTCAAAGAAAAGTGCCGTGGGGGATCATGTTGCTCATTGGTGGTGGTTTTGCCTTGGCAGATGGAGCTCAGGTAAAAATGCTTAATACAGTTACTTTAGAAAATCGAAGCTTTGAATAACTTAAATACTTAACATAGTTACTTAGAAAATGCTTAAAAGAGTTACTTTAGAAAACTGAAGCCTTCGCTATGCTAAAAATACCGAAAGCCCCTTTCCGTTCACTACACATCCTGCCCGTTTCCTCCCCTCCCCTTCCATTAACGCCCAGAGATGTGTGAAGATTTCAAATGACATCCTTTCTACTTCCAAACAAAGAAGCTTCCATTAGACTTTTAGGACCAAGCTGTATGGAATGAACCGATAGAATGCATTTGGGAAATTTCACCTGCTACTGCACGTGAAGGCAACCGTCTCGCGCGTTGGAGATAAAAATACTTTATTTCGAAAAGTGTTGCTACTGCTTTCTTTCAAATCGCAAAGTTTGTTAATAAAAAAAATGTGTAAGTTTTAAAAAATCTATGCATATAAAAAAGAAAGTCAGTTTGTTTGTTCGCATTATTTATTTTTGTTGAATTATGATGGTTTTTTTTCCCACATTTAATCGACTAAAATTGAATATAGGTGAAATATTTTTATGGAACTTGAGCTTTTACGACCATTTGATTAGAAAGACGAAAATCGTTAAAAAGTGCGTGCAACTGTTGCTGATATAATGAGAGAGAATTAACTTATTTTTCAGTCAAAATATTTTATGTGGTTTTCATATCGCATCAAACTAAAAAATGTATGACTATGAATTGTATTTCACCTTCTACGACTATGAATCGTAGAAGGATTACAGAGGCATCGTTCTCTCTGATGTTAGATGCATTACTCTCAATCGAACTTAACTGGTATCGGGTACTTCCGGTAGTTAGATATCAAAGTTAGTTATACGATCTAAACCTTTTAAGTGATTCTTAGAATAAGAATATTATGAACAATTTTTAGACTGTATTTCGTTTCATTTTAATACTTCATATTTCACAAACGAATTTTTTTTCTTAAATTTTCATGCTGATTATTCATTTCTCAAAACCATTAAAATTTTACATATAGTTGTATTGTACAGCAAGCGCATGAGTTTTGAAGATATTAACTTCCTTTCCAGAAATCTGGGCTTGCAGAACTATTGGGAAATAAGCTATCGTCTTTATCTGTAATGTCTCCCGGAGTTATAGCAGCTGTTATGTGCTTGATGACGGCTGCGTTGACAGAAATCCTTGCCAACAGCACTGTGGCAATAATTCTTCTTCCCATTTTGAACCAAATGGTAAGCTCTGATTTCGTTAAGAATGAACACAGGTACAACAACATTGATCTTTCCTTCATACATTATTATTATTTAAATCTCGCTTTGTTAACAAATTTTACTTTGGCTTAAATTTTTCCTTGATAGTTTCAAGGAAAATTGTTGAAGAAAATGATATTAAACTTTATTTTGGAAATGGCAATAGCTGACATAAAATTGTTTCTTTCGGTATAAAGCTACTGCAAAATGTTTCCATTGATAACTTAAAAACTATTCCTTCGATTGATAACTTAAAATCTATTGCAACAAGTTTCGATTGATAACTTAAAAACTATTGCAACAAGTTTCGATTGTTGCAACAAGTTCGATTGATAACTTAAAAACTATTGTAACAAGCTGCGATTGATAATTTAATATGAACTGAAATTTTCATTGTTGATTTAAAAGGGAATTTTTTAAGTACCATGATGTCAGAATACATATTGTTACGAAATGTACAGGAGCGATAAGATGGCTTTCCCGCAAAGCAGGTTTAAGGTTGCCATAAAATGGCAAAGGAGGGCAGGGTTGCCACATTTGGCGACAAAATTGGCGATATATCATGGACGGTTGGCGAACCATCTGGAACGAATTCTTACCGGTTTAGCCCAGAATGTTCCCGAACACAAGCCGAAAGCTATATAAACCCTGCTGGTCCGCAGTCAGTTAGTGTGTGTGTGTGCCTCGTCTAGAGTGCGAGTTAGTTAGTATCGAGCTGGTGTCTCATCTGCGACTCAATCCTTGCGGAGTCGATCGAGTTGACAGCCGGGCAGCGAGTGCCGAGTGGGTCGTCGAGTGCAACGAAGGAGTCTGTTAGTGTATCGCTGTTAGTGCATCGTCGAGAGAGCGTATTGAGCTCCGAGAACGACTGAACGGAAGAGTCGGGAGCTGTGCTCCTGTGTCGTCGAGTGCATCGCGAGTTGTAGAGTCTCGAGAATGACCAAGCAGAGTCAGGAGCTGTACTCCGGAAAGCAGAGTCGGGTGCTTTGCAGGAAGCTGTCTCCCCTGTGATAGCCCGATAGCCTGAAAGGTGTGTCGCTGATCGTGTCAGCGTGCTTATAGTAGTTCACCGACGACTGTAAAAAGTGGTTTTGAAGCTATCTGATTAATACTGGCTAATAAAGTGTGTTTCGATACTTCATCAAGTGTCGTCGTTATTCACTCCAAATCCACACGAACCCTGTACGAACGTAAAGGAAGAAAATAACGTAACAACTGGTGCCAGAAGAAAGAAAAACGCAACAATATGTTCTTGAAATTCATTTACATGAATCCGTTGAATAAGTGTTAATTGAGACTTTTTTTTTTCTTTTGGTTCGAATATGTCATTTTTCATTCAAAGAAAAATTTTCATGTCCGCGTAATGCAAAGTGGTCGGATTTTTCCGAAGCCATGCAGGACGAAACCATTTAGGCGATTTTTAATTTTAATAACTGCAACTTTGTTTCACGCGCAGTTTTATAACAGCTTATGAGCTTAGTAGGGTTTTTTGATTCGTTATATGTTACAGTGAAACCAACTTTACAGTTTGCACCACTAAGAGAGCTTTCGACCTAAAGTGACATCTAACGGAGAAAGCTCACCCAGTGGAAATTATTTATTGAAAAATTTTACAAGCAACTTTTACGAAGAATATTTTACAATCATGTTTACATCACAGTGAATGTTACTTACAATCTTCTTTACATTTACATGCTACGTTAAGCTAATTTTTATATATACAATATATATATATACAGTAATAGTCCAAGAGTCCAGTAAAATTTCAATAATTCATAATTCAAACTTCAATCGTTCAAGATTCAGTGAAAGTTCAATAGTTCAATAAAGTTCAATAGATCAAAAATTCTTAAGATCTCAAATTCTAAAGTTCATTAGAGTTCAGTATTAAGTTCTTTTCATGGAAGATTCACTTATAAGGTTAGTTAGTCCTAAGCACTGGCCCTCAGCCCACTTAGCAGGCGAAACTTATTGCCATATGGCTATGAGAGGACAGGCCAAGCCACAAAGGCATAACAACAACAAAAAAAAGGTAAAGTAGATACATACATTCCAAACACTCTCGGTGAAATAATATATAAATGTGTCGTTTCCATTTCTGTGTTTTTTCCTAAGTTTAAAATCTTTATAAGTTTTACTTTCAATTAGTTATTATTATTCAAATCTTCTTTATATTATCAAAATTCATCTTAAATTTATAAGTTACCTTAATTATTTCTGTTTTCAGTATAATTTTCTGCTTTGTTATATCTCGATACCAATATTCTTCTTATTCTCATTCACAGTTTGCATAATATCTCTTGCAAATTTTCTAAACAATTCTGCTAATTTTTTACATCTCTTGCTTCCAAAAAATACCTGTATGTCTCTTGTATCCAAAAAATACACTGCCTCCAGAACTGAAAGGGTGGTGGATGATGATACTCTACACCCAGGACTTTGCGACTGGGTTCCCTAAAAACCCCAGGCGCCCTTTAAAAAGGAGAGTATATAAGGTAAGAATTGGAGGCTCCCTTCAGCCCACCTGGACACGAGTGTCCCCATAGCTCAAAAGAAGGGGCCCCGTATCTCCACAAACGAGGGCAGCCAATAACCCAGCCACACCCAAACAACAAACAAAAATACTAAATCAAAAATAAGTAACACAAAATTACAGACCAACAAACAAACAAAAAAATCTATAAACACAAATTCACACCACCACAGATATCTAAAACCAATATAAATACAAAATTCAATTTTAACAGAAGATTCTTACCAGCGCCCTATTTTCATTGATAAAATTCATTAGAGCAATAGAATACGATTTAAAAACTTTAACCTTAATGACACTCACATTAAAATCAGTAATGTTAAAAATCTATCTAATAGGGGCTGTTAAACTACAATCAACCACAAAATGTACAACAATGATTACATAGTTTATTTTCCTGCAGATTAAATCGTTTGAAATAGATTAAATCGAAAACCTACCACGTCCAGTTAAAACATGATTAGCATCAATATTGTTCATACATTTCATTTTATTCGTGATTTTAATTAGTTCCATAAATCGTTTGTTTTTAGGTGAAGAGAACCACTGTATTTTCCATTTGTTAACGTAAACTTTTTTTCATTCTTCGAACTGCAATTCTCTTCGAACCTGTTACTTCAATATCCATTGCACTGACATTTGAGACCGCCTGCTTGGCCAGGCTGTCGGCTCTCTCATTACCAATAAAGCCTATATGGGCTTTAACCCAATGTAGCTTAATATTTAAATATGAACTCAAAGTTTCTAAATGACTCTTAATTTCGACAATTAATGAATTGAAATTGTCTGGGCGGGAAAGCGCATGGAGAAGTGACAGGCAGTCAGTGTAAATATTTACAGACGTGGGTATAACCAAGGTATTTTTAATCCATAATAAGGCTTGTTTGAACGCTTCACTTTCTGCCTGGAAAACTGAATTATATATGCTCAACTTACACATTCTATAATCCACCTCAGTTCCATAGTAAAAAAACAACAAAGGCAGCTCCTACGCTCCCTCCGACCCCAGAACCATCTATATAAATATCAAACACATCAACAGTTGGATTACTTTTATCAAAAACAAAACCAAATCTATTGGAAGGATGTATTAAATGAATATCTTTGTAATTAAATTATCTTCATAAATTTTCAATTCCATTCGTCCAGTTCTAAATAAAAATTTCTCACAATAAAATTCGTATAAAATTGAGAGAGGAGATAGCCCAGCCAACACAAAGACGGCCTCGGTAGGCACCGTTCTAAAACATCGGGTTAAAGCTAAACCCCAAGCTCTCTGAAAACTGTCTAACTTCATCCGTAATCAAACCAGTTCCCCTGCCCTGGATACCCAGGCCCCAATTCCATACATGATGATTGGAAGCACTACATTTAAGTAAATCTTCTCCAGAATGGAGGATTTCAAGGCTAAAATCTCAGCTGAAAAGATTCTATAATTTAATAAAATCAGTATATAAGGCATTTGCTCCTGCCTTTTTAGCGTGCCTTCGTGGTGTAGTAGTCTGCACGCTGCGCGCGTATTCCAGAGGTCCGTGGTTCGATTCCCGGGTAGGGTGTTGCTCATTTTTCATCTTTCATGCTTCAAAAAACACCTAATGTCTCTACAGTGTCGCCCGAACTAAAAGGGTAGTGGATGATGGTTGTCTACATCCAAGATTTGGCGATTGGGTCCCCTAAAAATAACCCACTCGCCCTTTAAAAGGGGGAGTATCTAAGATATTTCTCCCACATTTTTAGCGTGCCTTCGTGGTGTAGTGGTCTGCATGCTGGGCGCGTATTCCAGAGGTTCCTGGTTCGATTCCCGGTGAAGGCGTGGCTCATTTTTCATCTCTCCGGCTTCCAAAAAATAACCTAATGTTTCTACACACTAACTCCGTAAACAAAGTTCGGTGTTTCAGATAATCGTAATTACAGAAGGTCTCAGTTGATTGATAGAGTACAAATCAGTTCTAGTTTCAATTTAGATCTTGGTCCGAATATTATAGTCTTTTTTATAAATGACAGTGATTTTTAGAAGTGAAACTAGCTAAATCCCACGATTCTAAGCGATTTCGCTCTTCTGCGAAAGTGGTTAGCATAGAGAAAATAACTATGGTGTTTGATAACAGTGCTTATTTATAGTCTCAGAAATAATGTCAAATTCCCAATTGTTCTTATTATTGAAAAAAAAATCGCTTGATTTTTATTATATTAGAACAATTTTTATTTTTTGAATTATTTCACATTCTGTTTTTTTTTTTTTTTTTTTTTTTTTTTTTTTTTTTAATTTTCGTATAAATAAATACCTTTCGTCAAATTATTTTTTCTTGCAGATGTTCAGCTTTTCTTTATATTTTGGAATATTTTCAAATAGTAATCTATTTAAAATTCTGCAAACTTGTTCCTGTAGAAGAGGGACCAGTGTCTGACCGCTGTTAAACCTATGAAGTCTATCAATATCAGCGTCAAT